CAAAATTAATGAGATGGAAAATGAAACTTGACGAATATAATTTCAAAATCATCTATAAAAAAGGCAAACTCAATACAAATGCTGACGCTCCTTCTAGAATCGAAATTCATACTAAGGAAACTAACGATTTTTGGGAACAACTCGATGACTTCCTTGGAGAAGCCTCCAACTATCAGAATCAAAGAATTACCTTTGTAGATCAAAATTTAAACACACCTCCCACGACACAAGCTAATCCAAATTCACCACTGATAATTCAAGATATTAGCTACCCCAATTTAAACCCTGAACTAGACGATATCTCAATGATTGTCAACTTGGACAATGAAACAGATCAACCTGACTGTCAGGAACTTCCTACCGTTGACAATACAAATACTGACAAAGATATAATCAATGAAACAGAACAAACTGACTACAACGAACTTCCTTTTGTTATTGACAAAACCAATACTAATGAAGACGAACTTGACAAGGATGATGAAACCCGGCACTCTAACAATGAACACCCGGTTGTTACAATTCCTATATCAGACCAACCATTGAACTTTGGCCAAAATCAGATCGTAATTAAAACGGTCCTGCACTCTCCCGCCAAGCCGAAAATCATAATTTTATTCGAGAGAAAACAGCGGCTATTAGTGCAAATTTCAAAGAACAACCTTGAATCAGATGTTGTAAATTTTGTCAAGGAATATATTGTACCCGATGTCCCATACTATATATATTTCGAAGATCCTGACATATACGAACCCTTCTCAGGCGCTTTACAAAGTATTTTAAATGGCCCTCTATCAAGTTTAAAAGGTGTCTTGAAAAACTTCTAGACATCACTAGTAATGATGAAATTAAAAGTTTAATACAAAATTATCATGAAGGGAAATCAAATCATCGCGGGATCGATGAAACCTATTCTCGCTTAAAACAAAAGTACTATTGGCCAAATTTGAAAAGTTCCGTTCAGTCATACATAAATGACTGCGAAATCTGTCAACAAGCCAAATACGAGAGACACCCTGTTAAAGCGCAAATGAATATCACTCCCACTGCTGTGAAGCCATTTGAAATAATTCACATGGACACATACACATTTGAAAAATCTAAATTTTTGACCATTATCGATAGTTTTTCAAAGTACGCTCAAGCTTACCATCTCAATTCAATGACAGGTACCGAAGTAGCTGACAACCTTATCCGATACTTTTCCCATCATGGAATCCCGACACAAGTTATTACTGACAATGGCACCGAGTTTAAAAACTCAGTCATATCCGAGTTATTAGGTTTACATGGAATCGAAATACATTTCTCTTCCCCGAACCATCCCCAGTCAAATGGCGTAGTCGAAAGATTTCATTCGACAATATCTGAGCAACTCCGAATTTTAAACACTCAAGGCTTTCAAAAAACATCTGTCCAAATGAAAATGATATACGCAATCTTAGCATACAACAACTCTGTTCATTCTGTGACTAAATTAAAACCCATCGATGTCATAAATGGTCATCTCAGTGAAAAAGATACATTTGACATCAGCTTAGACCAAATTTTGTTGAATGATTATGTAGAACAACACAAAGCACGCAGTAAGCTATTATATACCAAAATCAACGAGGCGCTTGTTCAAAATAAAGAAAAAGTAATTGAAAAGGCAAACATAGCTCGAGATAGTGCAAAAATATTTCAACCAGGTCAGAAAGCATTCGTTAAGAAAAATATACGTCAGAAAAATGCAAATAAATTCCAAAAATCATGTACACTAACATCAGTCGATCCTGGTAAAAAGACCGCTACTACTGATAAACACAATAAAGTACATATCGATAATTTGAAGCGTCCCCTTCGCAAACCATATTCATTTAGCAACTAAATGTTTCTCTCCAAGTACGACATACATACATGTAGGTATTATTCATTTGCAGATTCCTGCAAGTAACGGTTGGACTTCAGGATAGCATAACTATACGTAACCTCGACAACAATCCAGGACTACTTCCCGTGGAAATTGGTGAAGCAAAAATAAAAGACTATGACTTTTCACTCATTCATTATTATGATATGAATCCCATCATTTCTGAAATTGAAAAATTATCAATTTCCTCCTCACGTATAGCAGAAACCATTTCTTCAAATTTAAATGTCACTACATATTTGTCCAATTATTTCAGAACATTAAAATTTGTTCAGCGACAAGTAGAACAAAAGTTACATAATATATTTCCCCATACAAAGCGAGGAAAAAGAGGCATATTAAATGGCATTGGGTCGATATTCAAATCAATAACTGGAAACCTTGACGCCAATGATGGCGAACGTTTCGAAAATCTAATTCAAGAGCTTCAAAATAATCAAAGAGAATTGACTAACAGTGTCACACAGAATAATGCACTGTCAGTATCTCTTATTGATAAGTTCAATAAAACTGTTCAGCAAATCTGTCATAATGAACAATTGCTGAATAATAAAATTAATACCATATATGCAATTGTTCATCGTACTACAATCGATTCAGATCAGCATAAATTCATAGTAGACACAGTATCTCAAATTATGAACAGCTACGAAGTAACTCTGTCAATATTACAAGACGTTGAAAATTCAATAATTTTTGCACGTCTTGGAACAATTCACTCTAGCATTATTACAACCGAAGAAATTTTTGCTGAACTGAAACTATTGAGCTCAAGATTAGGCCAGGAAAAATTTGCGATTCCAGTTTTACTAGATAACATACCAACTTTTGAAAAAATAATCAAAATCTCCAGTTATTCTGTGGGCAACAAAATTACATTCGTTTTATCATTCCCAATCTCATACTATGAGTCATTTAACTTATATCGTCTCTTTCCAATCCCGATATATTTTGAAGGTCAATTTAAGACTATCATTCCAAAGGAGCCTTATTTGGTAAAAAATGAATTGCACTTTGCACTTTTCGGCGACATTTGTACTGAAATTACTCCTAAAAAGTTTCTCTGCGAGAAGACCATGTTGCGAGACATTAATGGTCCATTACCCTGTGAACTTGAACTATTCAATGGAAGAAACGCCCCTGCATGTGCCCGAACTCCACTGATAATCAATCAGCCAAGTATCGAACGAATCCAACGGACTAATCAATGGGTATTGATCCTGCCACTACCAGATGTTATCAAAATGGAATGCCACGAAGAAATGCAAATGAAAAGATTGACGGGAACTTACCTACTTTCTATTCCTGTCAACTGTCAAGCCGAAATTAATCACCAAATCATCAAAAATGAACCCGAAACGATTGTCGCGGGCCAACCTATAATATTCCCGGACTTAAACCTGGACACTAAAGGCGACATCACAGAAACAAATTTCAGTCTGCATCTAGAAAAAATTAAGCTGGACGAGTTAAGTAAAATCAAGTCAAGCATTATCAGCAACAAACCCAACTTCAAAAAACCTACTGAATTTTTTATACCCAGTGCCTGGACACTGATAATATATGGATGTATATTACTCTTGGGTGTCTACGCATTCTGGAAAACCATTTTGAAGAAGAGGAAGCTCAGAAATAGAAGTATTCAACAACCAGAAGTCGAACTTCATCCTATTCAACTTCTTTGAAGAATTCTTCCCCGAAGTTGAATCTCAGGGGGGAGGAGTTATATCAGCCGTTCCTGCTGATATGATAGGAATACTGCCGACGATGCTACTAATTTCCTAGAAGACCTAGAGTTTACTTTATTGTTCTCAACACATTTTACAGTCAGTCAGATTTAAGCCTTTGTACTGTTAACATCATAATAACATTGTAATAATTTTGTAAAAGTACAGTTTTGAGTTTTGTAATTTTCAAAAAATAAACTTTTTAAAAAGCGATCTCGAAGCATCGATCTTATAACTCACGCCTAGGTTTGTCGTTTTAAAGTTATATTAATTTATGGTTTTAGACAATAAAGGCTACCGCGATCGGTTAAAATGTAAATACCTGATCTAATAAAAGCTGAACGATCTCCTTGTTTCCCTTGTAGGCTGCATGTTGCAGAGGAGACATCAAATTTCCATCTACAAAGTTCACGTTTATCTTTTCGCTAAGCAGTGATTTCAGTTGCAAAACATCATTTTTCTCAATTGCGTCGAGTATTTTCTGTTGCGCTTCAGTTAACGGCTTTGGAGTTTTCTCAGACATTTCGGTGTTTCTATCAAATTCGCCTTAAAACGATTTATTGTTATGATAATAAATTCGCCCACTAGAAAAGTTTATAGGTTAACTCAACGTCAAAGTGACACAGAACGACAGGAACAGAACCTTTGTTTCGTGCATCCGTGAAATACAATGTTGCCACACTTCTGTATATTCATAGACTCTCCAATATGTTTACAATGACTAGGCGTATTTTTTGCATGTGCTGCTGCTCTAATAGTACATGATTTACGCTGGCAAAAAAGTGATGAGCATTATCTGTAATATGTTACTGTAGAAACATGTATCTGAAGATTTATTAAGCTATTATGGTCCCACCAAAAAATACTATAAACATTATTGGCATGAAAAATGCAATAACTTTACTATAGAGCCGGCTTCGAATAGGGCTTCGGTCATGCCTCGTATTACGATAGTCGTAGCGGTCTGCCGTAAGGCAGGCATAGAAGCAAGCGTAAAAATCAAAAGCTTTGTTTAATTGCCCTCGATAAGACTGAAAATGTTGTAGAATTCCTAAAACCTGTTGAAGCGTTTATGTTTAGAAGAATTCGAAATGTCTCCTTCCTCATTCGTTAAAAACTTCGGATTTTATTATCATCTTCTGAAAGTTCACGTGCAGCAACAATATTTTCTTATTATCTACGATGTATGGATGGATACAATGAGCACGTCGCTTTCTACTTCTAACATAATCAAACAATAAACAATCCTCTTCGTCTGAAGAAAATGCAAGATCATCAATGGGTACATCAGAAACATCTGGTACCGTTGACGCCATGGTTTCAACTGAGATCTTACAAAACGATACGTTTACGTGACGATGCGTGTGAGGAACACTGCAGCTCTCGTAAGCGATGCGTCATAACGATACGATTACGATGCGTGTGCGAAGGCCCTTGCTTGGTATACGTCAAATCTATTGTACGTATGCGTTTTACGTCAGTCGTGGTTGGTGTGTGGCCCTTGACCTAGGTTTCTAGAGATAACGCATATTTGGCAACCTTGGAAATTGTATAACCTCGTGCGTTTAACGTCAGATGTCAAGTACGATGTCACCTCTTCGACCGACTGTTCACTTTGGTGCCTGTTGAAAAAATTTGAAATTTTTCGATCTCGTAAATTACTGGTCCATTTATTACTTTCGAAGCAATAAGTAGGTTTTAAAGATGCAAGGAAATCTGTGGAAAGTCGTTGCAGGCACAACAAAGGTGAGTTTGAATTACATTACTAATTTCACCTTATGTAACCTATCCTACCCAATTTATCCCACATACTGTGGATCAAATACTGTTTTTCCACCAAATTCTCTTGAAATTTTCAGCGAAACTTGAAATACAATCAGAGGATAATCACCCTCCTACAAGGTAGGGCATACTCAACCACCCATGACGCAGATATTGTAGTTATAGGCTCAGGACCTGGAGGCTATGTAGCGGCTATAAAAGCTGCCCAATTGGGTATGAAGGTAAGTTCCAAATTCATAATTGACATTCCAAAAATATAGTATCTATTCCCCTTTCAGACTGTATGCATAGAAAAGAACCCTACATTAGGAGGCACCTGCCTTAATGTGGGATGTATTCCCTCTAAGGCCCTATTGAACAACTCTCACTATTACCACATGGCACATTCTGGCGACCTAGCTAGTCGTGGTATTGAAGGTATGATCACAAAACTTGATAATAGGAATTTTTTTGTAATCAGACATACTGTGTATCATCATTGCTATGATGAAACTTCCTATGTAAAATTTTACCACATCCGTGCTATCTGAATATCTGTATAGTTAAATATGAGCTCCGTGACCTGATGTACAAGAGTTTCACAATAAAAAACTTTAGTAGTCTTGTAGATATTTACAAAAATCAATGTGAATGGAAGTGAAACTGATTTCTTAAATCTACAAGAGTTTTTATGTCATTCTATGAAAACTGCTCCAAACCCATAGGAGCTTTCGACAAAAGAACAATATGTAAACATTAACATTTCTTTTTTACCTTTGAGTCTGTGATTTATATGATGTAAATCCCAGTGTTTATGTAGTCATATTCATTTTTCACACAATGAACGGTATGCTTTGCTCACTTTGGTTTGTTCAGTTTATTGCACATTCTCTTTACCAGAACTCAGTAAATCAGGTGAGATTTTTAGACAAAAGTCCCAGCAAAGAGCGCACGCGGCACTATTGAAAAATTCAATAGTGATACTCTTAACAGAAAAAAAGTAAGACAAGGTGTTTCTTATTATTTTGTTTTTTGTCTCTTTAGGAGAACAATTTGAAAATGAGAGATTATATTTTTCCATTTCCCTTGGTCTGTCTGTTGGTCTTTCGACTAATCTTTGGACCACCTATAACTTGGAAACTACTGCTCAGATTTGGATAAAATTTTCACACAAGGACCCTTTGTAGTTTTTGAAAATTGGCCCTGTGGTGGCGGAGCTAGGGCCAACAACAGGAAGAAAAAAACTTTGTCTTTTTTGACATTTTAGAGGCGCCTGATTATTTTGCCAGGCATTTTTTTTAGGGGTTGAAATTCAGCTTTTTCTAATCATTGGAGGGTGGGATTCATTACCTACATGTGCACAAGAATAGAAGTACTCCATCCCGTATTTTTCTGCAACATTGAGTTACATTAACATTGAGAAACCATCTATGTTATTCACACATTATATGGATTGTATTGAAATTTTAGTTTCGGGGGTTACCTTAAATTTGGTATCATTGATGGGTCAGAAAGAAAAGGCAGTCAAAGCTTTGACAGGAGGTATAGTACAATTATTCAAGAAGAACAAAGTGACATTGGTGAATGGTCATGGTAAAATTACTGGTGTGAATCAAGTAACTGCACTAAAAGAAGATGGTTCAACTGAGGTTGTAAACACTAAGAACATTTTGATAGCTACTGGATCAGAGGTTACCCCATTCCCAGGTATAGAGGTGAGAGTAAAGAAGTTAATTAGAAGTTTCAGATTTACAGAAATATAACTAAAGATTGGCATACTAAAGATAGACAAACTTTTCATCTGATTTTGCAGATGTTTGATCACCTAAATATTCTGTTGGCTATATTGGGGTGCTGAGTAAAGAGGAGGTATCTGCAATTAACCTGAAACTGAGAAAAATGCTTCCGAAGTTTGGATCTCTGAATTTTGTTTACCAAATGGTCAGAAGCATATATTTCATATTCATCGACATCATAATTATTTTATTTACATGAAGATAATAATAATAATAATAATAATATTTATTTACTCTAAAATACAGGGAACATGAAACGAGTAAATAAATATAATATATCCATAGGAGGACAACGCCTGTGCATGGATCATATGTATGTTGAATTGCAAAATATAATAAAATAGAGAGAAAAAAGAAATTATTGGTAAGAATGGTAGAGCATTTATTGTGTAATATTTGAGATTATTTTATTAATTTGATTTCTCCCAATCGTGTTAATAAATTTTTTTAATTTTTTTTGAAGCCTAATGTATTACGTAATTGTTTTAAATTATTTGGTAAATGTTCATACAATTTTGGAGCTATATACAGGTGACATCGTTTCATTAGGGATTTGTTTGGAACATTTTTTGCGCGTAATTTATATCTGGTTTTATGATTATGTTTAATTATGTCGTGTTCACTAATAGTTTTGTGATAATGAGTGATGGTATGTAAGAAGTAAAGTTGTTTAGTATCATATACTTGTGCATCATTATATAAGTCATTAGTTGGGTATAATTTTGATTTGCCTAACATTGATTTTAAAATTCTTCTTTGAAGTACATCTAAATCGTTAAAGTATGTCGTGCATGCAGCACCCCACACTACTATACCATATGTTATGTGTGGCTCGACTAAAGCTTGATATATTATTTGTAGATAATATTCAGTTAATATACCGGTTAGAAATTTTATTTTATATGCTATGAATCTAATTTTCTTTAGTATGTGAGAAATATGTACATCCCATCTCTAGTGGGGATCTAGATAAATTCATAAATATTTTGTATCATTAACTCTATTGATTTTTATATTTTTATCATTTACCTTAAACCGAAGGTGGTTATATTTTGGTAGATGATTAGATAGTGATGAAAATGGTAAAAAATGAGTTTTAGTAAAGTTAATTGTTAATTTTCGGTTATTAAACCACTGAATAATTTTGCAAAAGTCATTTTGGATAATATCTTTTAAGTTGTTCCAATCCTTACCTTTATAGAGTATAGCAGTATCGTCTGCAAAACTGACTATTTTACCAGTACTGTTAATTTTGAATATATCGTTTAAATAAATATTGAATAACAGAGGACCCAAAATTGTACCTTGTGGAACACCACATCTAACAAACATTTCTTTACTATACGAGCTTAATAATTTTACTGATTGCGGTCTATTTGATAAATAATTTTCCATTAACGTATACATCTTTCCACGAAAACCTATTCTTTCTAAGATTTCCAAAAGTATATTGTGGTCAAACGCTTTTTGTAAGTCGACAAATATAGTTGAATTACATGAAAATATCATTTCATCAGCTTATTGAACTTGATATGGCTAATTAAAAATAATTAATGTTAAAATACTAAGCAAAATAGCCATATGTACAACATTATAAACTGATTGATATTACTAATCATATAAAAGTTATGTATTCATGTTACAACTTTTCATACTTAACAAATCTCAATACAGCCAAAAATATATATGATTTCAAGAAAACCAGTGTTTTTTGTCTGATGAACTTTGCCAATGAGCAGAGAAAATACAATTGATCCATTAGATATCAAAAACCAAATATGCCCTAAAATTGCAGATAAGCCCTCTGTGCTTAGCACTGCCATATAGTATGAATATACTTGAGAAAAGTGCTAAAATGTACAGGGATTTATTAAAAGTTACCATAGAGGATACTCTCAAAAATATTAAAAAAATTATCGGTTGACGTTTTATAAAACTTAATTTCATTTCAATATGTTAAAATACCTGTCACCAGATCATGATATAAAAGACTGAATGGAAAAATTTTGATAAAATTTAACCTTTCTCTTTAGGGTATCATGTGTTATCAGTATTGAAATTTCATTCTATGATTGAACTGGGATGTGTTGAAATAATGTTATCACCAACTACAGTTGTTATAGTATTTTATTGGTTTTACATTTAGAGTATGATTTTGTTTATTAAATTGGATGATAATGCTTAATTTGTTAGGTTAAAATTATCTCTGCAGAAGCTGATGCTTGATATTGCATTAAAGAGGATTGTAATCAGTATATGGGCGCATATTGCAAAATTTTTTGAACACCAAAAATATAGTAGCTAGATGCTGAAATAAGGAAGTTAAGACTCATCTTCATGATTTTTTTGTCTATATCCAAAATAATTAGAATCAAAATTATCAAAAAGGTGAGAAACATACAAAATAAGGTTTATATTTAAAAAAAAATCTTGACCCATCAAATACATTGTTTTGACATAGCCAAAGGTAGCCAACAAGGTAAAAAACTGACAAAAGTCAAGATTAGGCATGCAGAATACAATGCCGGGTTATGAAGCCTGAAAAACCATACCGCATCTACCAGTAGCGACGGCATCTAGCGGTCACAATGGTGACTCCACTGTCAAATGCGAACTGAGATATAGTTCCATTAGACAGCTAGTGAAGCAGTGGTCGATTCTGCACTTTGTGCTCTCTTATTTTGAAAAAAAACCTAACATTCAATTACAGCATTTAAATACTTCCATACCTACTGATACAGGTTATAAATACTCGGTATACAAAAAGATTCCAAGTTTTTTTTGGATCTTGTTATTTCTTGTAATGCATCATTTTTCTCAATTGTATTTTCTGTTGCGTTGCGGCTAACGGCTTTGTTTGGTTCATTATGGTACGAAATATTTCGTTATTTTTAATTCTTCAACTTTAGTGATAACTTTTGCGTGTAAAATTTGTTTTTTAAAGGTTGATGAGGAGCAAATTGTATCGTCGACGGGAGCCTTGTCACTAAAAGAAGTACCAAAGAGGTTAATTGTTATTGGAGCTGGTGTCATTGGTGTAGAATTGGTAAGTATTGAGTATTTAATTTAATGACAATGTACAAAGAACCAACAAGTTGGAAATATTCTAATTAAAACTTGGAATTTCATTTCTGTCATAGATTTGTGTATGTATTCTGTTTCAAAAATTTGTTGAATCAATCCCAGCCCCATTTAAAACTCGACAAAAAAATTTCGAGAACTGCGCACTCTAGAAAAAAGTTACGAACCAAAGGTGTAGAGTTTGGAGGTGGAAAAATGATGATGATGATGACATTGAAAATGACCATCACTATGACTTTTAGGGTCCTGTCAAGGTCAAGAGTATATTTTCAAATGGACCCCGCCGTTTTTTTACATTGGAATTGGAAAGGGGAGCGTCCAAACAGTGACCTTGACAATTGACTTCCAGGTCATTCCAAGGTCAAATCAGGACATCAAAAACAATTTGCTCTAACAAAAAGTTTATCAGCACAGTTATGAGGTTTGTGGGGATCACCCAAAGGTGATCTTGACCATGACCTTGGCGATGACCTTCACGGTCGGATCAACATTTCCAAAGGAAACCTCTCATTTTTGTACTGGAAATGGATAAAGCAGGCAACTTTACCACATCAAATAACATTTAAGCTTAACATGGCCTTGACTTTAGGTCAAGCTCACCTATTCGACTATAAAATTCCCTCCTTTTTCCATTTCCTGCACAAAAATGAGAGGTTTCCTTAGTAAATTATGACTTGACCTTGAAGGTTGTGGTGTTTGGGTGATCCCTACAAACCTCATAACTATGCTATCGAATATTTTTGCTAGAGCAAATTGTTTTAGATGCATTGATTAAATCTCGAGATGGCCTTAAAGGCAATGGTCAAGGTCATAGCCAAGGTAATGTTCGGACATAAAATAAGCTTTTTCCACCTCTGCTAAGAAAAAGTAAGGGCTAACCTTACCCTTCAACCTCATTTGAAGGTCAAGACAATTTTTTTAAATGGAATCCCATATTGTTGACACCGGAAATGTAAATAGCGAGATATTTTACATTAAAGTATATTTTTGCTCAAGACCTTGACCACAACCTTCATGAGTATTTGAAGGTGTCCAGATAGTAGGGAAAGGACAAAAGATCTCGAAAAATAGGTTTCATCGAACGGTGACCTTCAAGCTGATTTAAGTTCAAGACTGTTTTTTTAAAATGGAAACCCCTATTCTTGACACCGGAAATACAAAGAAAAATAAACTTATATTCAAGTTTGTCAATGACCTTGACTATGTCCATCAAGGGCATTCGAAGATCAAATTAATATTTAACGGGAAACATTTATTTTAATTCCTGAAATGTATGTTGCGGACAATTTTAAGTGCTTCAAGGTCATTTCACGAGCATATAAATTTTCAAGTGAACTCCTTACTTTTCGTCGAGGATATAAGAAATCAAAATATTGTCGCTTTAAAATGTTGGTTAAAAATGCTCATTGGCAAAGTAACTATGGCGAATATTGTATTTATTTCTCCAAAATCAATCTCTTTCACACTAATTAAATGAATGACCTATACTGTACACTATTTCCAGGCGAGAGGCGCCGCGGGTTTAGTCTAGTTATTTATAACAACCAGTATGTTTCAGCTGTGTTGCTGTTTTATAATCATGCTTGTAACTGTTTTGCAGGGCTCTGTCTGGTCAAGGCTAGGATCAGAAGTGACAGCTGTCGAATTCATGCCTAGCATAGGGGGCATTGGCATTGACGGAGAAGTAGCGAAAACCTTCCAGAGGATACTTCAAAAGCAGGGCTTGAACTTCAAACTGAGCACGAAAGTAACAGGAGCAACGAAAGAGGGTGGTGTTATTAAAGTTAATATAGAAGATGCCAAAGATTCTGAAAAGAAGGAAACGGTGAGTTAATTAAAATCTATAGGGTGTCTCGAAAAAAGTGTGCCATGGTTTGACAAATTCCGGTGAATATCAGTAAACATTCGACGACCAGGTACTATAGGATTGAGAAATCTTCTTTGATATTCTCGTACGGCTGCCAATGAACTGCCATTGCAAAACCCGTACACAAAATGCATGTCAGTCAGTTCTCTGTCTGTAAATCTTGGCATTTTAAATCGATTTAATAAAAATTTTGATTTCAATCTAGTAATTTTACACTGCTAACAATGTCAGCTTAACGTCAAAATAAGTCATAACAAATCAAAACAAATTTTGTTTGCAGTCATGGCTAACTATGTATAATCAACAATTCATTTAAATTTGCAGTACATTTCCTATCATGTGACAAATTTTTTAGTTTGAATTTATTCAAAAATGGCACAATTTATCGATATTCAATAAGAGTACCTTTTTTATCTAGAAAACCCGAAATTTTCAAATTCTAAAATTGAATTTCAAAAATAGAATCACACAAAAATTTTGGGGCTAAAATAACCTGAGTCCGTCCCTGTTACATACGCTTCCAAACAAAACTGTCTAAAATTGTTAATATTTTTAAATCCAGCATAAAAAACTAGGCTAGAATACCAAATATTATGTCTTTATCTTAACACGTTCCGGAAATATTAAGGAAAAACCATCTTCAGGGCAGCCCCTTTAAAAGACCGTAGCGCCCTTAGGGGACGTTTGTCGACCTATGTTTATATAAACTTTTCTTCCTATTTTAAGCTCCAGAAACCGCTGGTAGAATATTGCACACTTTTTTTGGGATATGGAGAAATGCTCCACTGTTCTTGTTTGTGAAACGATACAGTTTTGAAGTGGTACAATCTGTACGACTGACAATAAAGTTACAGAACTATTGTTCGTCTGATTTTTTCAGTTGGAATGCGAAGTCCTCCTTGTCTGCGTCGGAAGGAGGCCTTACACACATAATCTTGGCTTGGAAGAATTAGGCATTGAAAAAGACCAGAGGGGTAGGATCCCTGTAAATTCAGTATTCCAAACAGTTATTCCAAATATCTATGCTATCGGCGATTGCATTCATGGTCCCATGTTGGCGCATAAGGCTGAAGATGAAGGTAAGCGAATAATTAAAAAGGGCAACTAAATCACTCTTTTTTCGCGCATTATGAACGATGGAAGTATGGTTAGAATTTTTAACACAATTTTATTAACCTGAGCTGTACGTAACAAAATCTTTCAACCTAATTTCCACCAATTTCAAGGAGTCTGATTAAATTTGAAAAAACAGAATTTGCGAATTTGAATTTTTCGAAAAAAAGGTTTGTTAATTTGGAGAATTTGGAAATTTGAAAAATAATTTAAAGATTTGTGAATTTGAAAAGATGAATATTTTGAAAAAAATTTGGAAAATTGGAAAAATATAAGATATTGAAGGTCTTGATTATAAGTACTTTTGTTGTCGTTTTGAACCTAAAAATTAAGAAAATAATTTGTATATAAAAAACTATTTACTAGCAAATCGAACTAAAAAGAGCAAAACACTTTTCTAAAATTCTGTTATAGTAAACACACGTGGGGTGCAATTAACTGTATGACCCAATTTTGCAAATAGCAACTAAAAAAATTGAATTTTTTGTTAATATATTAATTCTTGCATTGATCTTACTCCAAATTGTCATACTTTTTGGACTTTGCAGTAACACAAGCTCTCTAATACTTGAATATTATTTTCTACTTGTTAGTTCGATTTTTTTAGTAATTATATGATATTTGCCCTTGGGTGGTAAAAATGTCAGAATGTATTTGTTATGGGACTTTCAAACTTTTTTTAATTAGATTCAACACTTTTTTTCAGGCATTGTATGCGTAGAAGGAATCTTGGGTGGTCCCGTTCATATAGATTACAACTGTGTGCCATCAGTCATCTATACTCACCCAGAAGTCGGCTGGGTTGGCAAGTAAGTCAATTATTTATTTATGTATTTAAACTCTTACAAACACATTTGAATGTAGTTACATGTAGGAGTGCTTACTGGCTAGTAGAGAAACAGAGAATACACAAAAAATAAATACAAAGACGAACTATAAAAGTTGACAAACAAATAAAATGAGATAAGGATATTTTACTTAAATTTAAAATCAGTCTTAATTTGTCTCACAGTAGTCGAAAGGAGATTGACATCACAATTTTGTATATAACTATTACGCTCATACATCATTCTATTGATAGAAGAACAACTTACAGGTGAACAGTGAAAGGGTTTGTTGCCTCTTATTCTTAAGTTGATTCTAGGAACAGCAAAGAATATATTATTTATTAGGGAACACTTCTATATTTTAAATTATTAATTATATAGTAAATGAACAAGATATCATTCAAAAAACGCCTAACGCTCAACCGCACAATCTTAAATTCTGTTAGCATACTATTATAAGAGATCATGTATGGATAAGCGTTGTGTGTCCTTAAGTACAGATATCTTTTTTGTACCCTTTAGATCATATCAACATGAACCATTGTTTTGGGTGCCCAGACAACAGAGGCATACTCCAAAACAGGTCGGACCAGTGAGTTGTCCAAATTATTATAAACTTAGTTTCCTTAATGTGCTTTGTATTCCTTATCACAAAACCCAGGATCCTATATGCTTTGTTTACAATAGTTTCATAATGCTGATTAAATTTTAGATTAGTCTGAAAGAAGACCCCAAGATCCTTACATTCACTTTTCCTCTTTTCCTACTTAACAATAAGTAATTAAAATCTATAAATTGTGCTTTTCCTGTAAAAGTTAAACTATGACATTTGGCAATATTCAATGACATTTTATTCTCCTTGAACCACTGGCACACTGAACGTAAATCAGTTTGCATCTCACTACAATCTTGAAGGCAAGTTATATGCTTGTATATTTTAAAATCATGAGATATTTGGCATATTTTACACAGTTTGGCAAATCATTCAGAAAAATTATGAATAATAGAGGCCCAAGATTACTGCCCTGGGGCACCCCAGATATTATTATGTTCATCTTTGATAAATGCTTACTAACTTTAATGCTGTGGCCTTAAGGTTAGGGATGATGCCATAAGCTCACATGCTCTTTTTGAGAACCCAGATTTACCTAACTTGCTCACCGACAGACCATGATCAACCCGATCAAAGGCTTTCGCACAGTCCGTCAAAACAACATCCAACTGTTCTTTGTTGTAAATTGCCCCGGCAGCTGCCTCAGTCAAGATGCTGAGGTTGGTAACAGTTGAGACATCGGGGAGAAAACCATGCTGCTGCAAAGTGAACCTACGCATAAGAGAGCTCAAAATATCTTGGTACAAGATATTCTCAAATATTTTCGCAAGAGAGTTTAAAACGCTAATTTGCCTGTAGTTGTCAACCAGAGAATTATTGTCTGTTTTGAGGACTGGAGTAACCAGAGCATATTTAAGAGTGTCTGGAAATGTGTTTGTTTTAAGACAAAGATTAAAAATAGTTTGTAATGGAGTATACAGGATATTAGAACAACCTTTGTATATGTATGAGGGAATATTATCATTGCCAGTGGCCTTTTTGGCTTTTAACTTCTTAATGGCTGCCTGTATTTGCATTTCTGAGATAGGAGAGAAAGAGAAGTTACCATTACAAACGTCAAAGTTAGGTTTTTCGGATTGTTGGAACACAGAGCTAAAATACAGAGCAAATGTATCAGCTATTTCCTGGGCACCACCAATAGTACATCCTTTATAGCATACCTCAGCAGGGATACCAGGTCCAGAACGACTGGACCTGACAAAGTCCCAAAAACCATTTGGATCAGTTTTTAGATTTTTTTCATGATAGGCTTGTAGTTCATTTGTAGTTTGATATTTGATTATTCATGCTTGTACAATTTGTATCTCCCAGCGCTCTTTGCCTCTTTTAAAGTACATTACAGTACAAATTAAATTTTGAAACTGTCATACGATCTTCGGACATCGGTTTCCTTGTTAATGAATTTTTGACATCATCTGGTGCAGTAAAGTTGGAGCATATTTTTCCCTCTTTTCAGGAGTAGCGCTTTATACACATAATAATAATAATAATATTTATTCACTCAATGTACAAAGATAACAAACAATATGAGTAAATAAATATAAAATCAAAACAGGCCCAATAGAAGGCATCGCCTGTACATGGACCAATAATTTAAGTTGAAACTGTAGAATGCAAATGACAAAAAAGGACAAAAATTAGCTACAGTAGATTATGTATTTAGTTGATGTTCGTATTTATGAGTTTATGAATTTCAGTCCTAGATATAGAATGTAGCCACTTTTTTAAATTTCTTTTGAAACAATTTCCGAAACGTAAATCTTTTAAGTCTTTAGGTATAATTTCATAAAATTTAGGCGCTAAATAGAGATATGATCGCTGCATTATAGATTTATGCGGTTGAGGAACTACTGTGCCACGAATTTTGTACCTGGTATAATGATTATGTTTAATTTTTTGGTCGGTGTTTACAAATTTATGGTAGTGAGTGATACTGTGTAAGAAATAAAGCTGTCTTATATCATACATTCGAACATCTGCGTATAATTTTTCAGTGGGATAAAGTTTCGGTTTTTTAAATATCATTTTTAGAATACTCTTTTGAAAAACATCTAAATTATAGATATGTGAGGAACATGCAGCTTCCCATGCTAATATACCATATGTGAGATGAGGCTCAATCAGTGCATGGTATAATGTTCGAAGATATTTTTCTGTCAATATATTCCCAAGGTATTTAATTTTGTAGGATACAAATCTAACTTTCTTTAAAATATAATTGACATGGATGTCCCATCGTAAGTGAGGATCCAAGACCACTCCAAGGTATTTTATGTTTGGCACTCTATTAATTTGAATTTTTTGATCATTAATGTTGAAGGAGAAATTTGTGTAATTTGGCAGATGTCTAGCATAAGATCCAAATGGTAAAAAATGTGTTTTAGAGTACTTAATGCTTAATTTTCTACTGTTAAACCACCGAATAATTTTGATAAAATCATTTTTAATTACATTTTTCAGATCAGACCAGTCAGTACCTTCATATAATATTGCAGTATCATCTGCAAAACTAGTTATTTTGCCAACACAATTAATTTGGAAAATATCATTTGAATATATATTGAATAACAGTGGACCTAAGACAGTTCCTTGTGGGACACCACACTTAATATACATTTCTTTACTAAATGATCCTGATATCTGCACAGATTGTGGGCGATTTGACAAATAATTTTCGATCAGTGAGTACGCGTTTCCTCTGAAACCAATTCTCTCCAATGCTTCTAATAATAATTTGTGATTAACTGTGTCGAAAGCTTTCTTTAAATCAAGAAAAATGCAGATTGACGGGATTCTGTTATCAATATTTTGATGTATTTGATTTACAATTTTAGTTATTGCGTCCGATGTAGCCTTCTGTAAATCCATATTGATTTTCACTTAAAATTTTGAATTTTGTGAGGTATCGAATCATTCTAGTAAATAAAACTTTTTCAAAAACCTTTGCTACACTGGATATTATTGATATTGGTCTATAGTTGTTAACATCTGTTTTTGTTCCTGATTTATGTATCGGTATTATATTACCTTTTTTTAAAATTGAGGGATATATGCCAGATTCAAAGCATTTGTTGATTAGGTAAGTGAGTGGTTCTGTTATGTCCTCGGCTATAATTTTCAAATGCTCGCTTTTAATACCATCGAACCCAGGACTTTTCCGATTTTTTAAGGACATAACAGTGGTGTATACTTCACATTGCTCGACTTTATGAGTTTAAAGTTCTTTTTGGAGGCTGAGTATTTTGTACATTTGCTTGTATATTACTTGCTAAATTTTCGCCTGTCAGTAAAGAATTGTACAAATTCATCGCATATCTGTTGAGTATTTTTTAATACTGTTTCCGATGTTGTATTTAACTCAGTAACACACTCTTTAAATTTTGTTTTCCCAGTAATCTCATCAATAGTTGTCCAAAGCCGCTTAGGATCATTTAAGTTATTATTCAATTTATTTAGGTAATGTTTTCGTTTGGTTTGCCTTGCAAGCTCTATAAATTTATTTTTATATTGGTTTTAGCAGTCGGTATTCTCTGTAGTTGGCGTTAGTTTCATTACATTATATAGTCTTTCTTTTTCTATTGCGGATGTTATTAATCCTTTGGTAATCCAGGCATTTCTGCTTTTCTCTTTGTGACTAATTATTACTTTATTGGTACTAATATCTATTAGTTTTTTTATTTTCTCTATGAACAGTCCCGTTGCTTTGTCTATATTATTTATAGAGTATAATTGTTCCCAGGATTCTTGTTTGACATTTGATATTAGTTTTGAATTGTCGACAAAAAATTTGTAATTTTCCTGGTTGTTATTAACGGTAGGGATGTTAGAATGTTTTTCATTTGAAGATATCAGTAAAATAGTGGAGAAGTGGTCAGTAATATCGCTTTCTAGGATTATTGGTATACAAGTAATCTTGTTGGATAGGTCTTTCACAAAGCAGTGATCTATACATGTGCCACTGATGGGCCTTGTAGGTAGGTTTATATAGGACAGAAATCCGTTACTTCATAGGATATTCAAGTATTCATTTGTGATGGGATCATCGTCCAAAATATTTATATTAACATTAGAGTTGCGTCGTGTCTTAGTAACATTGCAAAAAGATGGTTTGATTGACCTCAAGTTTAAATTTTAGATGTTATTAACGAACTTGATATATCTATTGTTCAACACTCGGAATAGCGGTTCTAATATGGTGGCTGTGTTTGCAGAAAATGTTTTGATTGCGCTCAAAATTAAGTTTAAAGCGTTTTTAGGATCGCTAATTACGAATTATACAGATATTTAAAGAAGGTGTTCAAAATATTGTCCTCCACTTTCCACATAAGCTTCATTACGACGAACCCAGTTTCTTCTTACTCTAGGTCCTCGAAGTTGTCCATTTATTATTTCAGCCGCATTAAAAATTTGTTTGCGAAGTTGTGCTTAAATTGTTAGTGGACCAGCCCCATAAACCATCCCTTTAAGTTCTCCCCAATACCAGAAATCCCTCGGATTGAGGTCAGGAGATCTTGCTGGCCATTTTCGAGGAACAGAAGCATTTCGACCGATCCAGCGATTTGGATAATGTTCATTCAAATACTGAATGACGCCTCTAAAAATCTGTGGTGATGTCGCGTCATGAAGAAATTACAAATTCTGCCTCCGTTGTAATGGCATGTTGTCTAAGGTCTGTTCCAATAGTTCTGGTAGGTTATTGGCTAGAAAGCTAGGGTATCCTTCTTCTGACAACTTTGGGGGTAACTCGAAAGGGCCAATTACCTAATCCTCAAGAATACCCGCCCAAATAATTATTTTAAAACGTTGCTGGAAATGACCTTCACGAATGATATGAGGATTGTCTTGGGCCCACGTGTGAGTATTATGGAAATTTAATATCCCGTATCGCATAAAAGTACACTCGTCTGTCGCTATAATGTTTTTAAAAAAATTCGGATTTTCAATGTTTTTGTGCAAAAACCACAGACAGAATGTTAGTCTGCGAGGATAGTCTTCTGGTAACAAGGCCTGCACTCTTTGTACATGGTAGGAATAAAGCAAATTTTTCCGTAGGATTCTATGGACTATGGTATGCGATAGTCCTACGCGCCGGCCTAATTCCCGAGTGCTGATATCTGCATTGATTTCCACGATATTTAAAATTTGTTCCTCCTGCTCTACACTAACCTGTCTTTCACGAGTGCGAATATTAGTGGGCTGAACATTTCCTGTATCTCGAAGTATTTGGTACACTTGCACAAATGTCCTTCTGAGCTGCAAGATTTGAATTCTGACGAGCTTCACCGTAAACTAACATGTCGGCAACCTCTTGATTCGAGGACATTGTAAATAAACACGACGACGTACACGAACAACAACTAACCACTGTTACCGTTTGCGATCGATTGCCGGTTCGATAAGAGTGATGACTGACCGACGCGCTGTTGTCATGTGTGTTTTAAATATTTAATTTGATGAAACTTACTTACTGACTTAATTACCTAATTTAAAAACGTTTTAGATTAGATTATAGAAATTAGTAAGATTGTGGTCGATTTAAAGCTCTTAAAGTTGTAAACTATACAGCCATTTGGACAAAAATCTATTGACTTTTGGACCATGGGTCATATGAACTTTTTGACTTGTTTTGACCCGTATTACCCATTTAAATAATTACTCCCATAGCGTTTACACCCTGTATAAATAAATAGAGTTTGATCTGTGTGCATTGAATTGAAATTTTAGTTCCTCTTATTCACATCTGCGTATTCTTGCAGATCCGAGGAAGACCTGAAGAGCGAAGGCGTTGAATACAAAGTAGGAAAATTCCCGTTCGCGGCCAACTCGCGAGCGAAAACGAACAACGAGACCGACGGTTTCGTCAAAGTGCTGGCGGACAAAGCGACAGACCGCATTCTGGGCACGCACATCATCGGGCCATCTGCCGGCGAACTGATCAACGAAGCGGTTTTGGCTCAAGAGTACGGGGCGTCCAGCGAGGATGTCGGCAGGGTGTGCCACGCTCATCCCACGTGCGCAGAGGCGCTCAGGGAGGCCAACGTCGCGTCGTACTTCGGCAAACCGATCAACTTTTAAGAGCAATGATTTTTTAACCCATCGACGGCTGGTGAGACGGATACTGCGTGTTTAATTTTCGTCAAGCGGATGATCGGGAGGATATAAAATATATAGGTATTAAAGTTCCGGAACCCTACGATAATTTGTGAATGGTATGAAAACACTAAGCCCCGCGATTGATAGCAGTTTTCCCAAGCTATGACCTTGACGATGATCTTCAAGGTCATTTGAAGGTCAAGTCCATTTTTCAATGGAAACGCCCATTTTTGACGCCGTAAACGGAAATTTTACGTTCAACTATGGTCTTGGCCATTCTTAAATTTTGACCTTGGGAGGTCATGGCCAAGGTCAAACTCAGGTACACGTTACAAAATTAGTTTTGACAACTATATTTTGTATGATGTAAAAGATTAGGTCATGTTCAACCTTATGAAAATGTCATGTCAGTTGAGGTTCTCATCATTTCGTCGATTTGTACATAGCTTTAATCTAAGAGTAAGTTATTTATGAGTTGTAAAAGTAGAGATTAGCTTATAGTCTCTAAATAAAAATATTTCGGTATCCCGGACCATATGATTGGAAGACATATTTTCTCAATTTACCTAAATATCATTCATTGCTATTTAGCTCAGCGCCACCACTGTCAGATATTTTTTTAATAACATTTCTGTGTATTTTTATTTGTACTTTGTTGTTATGATTGCTTGTTAATTATCAAATAAAAAAATGGCACCTATTTTTGTGTATTTTTTTTGCTATAGTCATTACCTTTGTAGTTTTGTATTCCTGACCGTTGACGTCAATCTACTGTTCAGGACGGAACTGCATAAGAGGAAGCGGAAGATTTGGGTAATGTTATAGTGGATCTGTTTCAAAACAAACTGAAAGTAAACATACATGAAAAAGATATAGTCAAATACCATCGCATACCAAACAAAAACTCAAATGTACATTGGCCGTGCTGGTACGATTCACCTCGAGCGATTCACGGGCATCGGTTTTGAAAAATCGAAAACTGTTGAAAAACACCGGAATTCGTATAAAAGATCTGACTAAATCGCGACTGAAGTTATTTAAAAGATGTATTGATTTGTTTACGAAAAACAATGCGTAGATTCTAAGAGGAAATATTTACGTAAAACAAAACAATGAAGTTCATCGAATCGCCAGTGATGAGGACCTAAACAAAATGAATGTTTAAGAGGTTTTCAATAAACAATGCAGTGTCGTGAGGTATGTGGGGGGACGGGTGCTGCAGCATTCTAACATGAAGGTAACATTACTGTAGATGTTTTCAAAGTAGGCAGTGTTAGACGTTATTTCTAGTAGTAAAAAATGTATTAGTATTAACTACTTTGAATGTGGCTTAATCAGTACTCGTCTTTTCGCGTATTATTATTTTTCTTCTTACACTTTTAGGTTAAACAAGAAATAATTGTTTAATAATAATTAATACGAATCACAATGTTGTTATGCAATAATTTTAAACGAATTTATTAGTCCATACACATATACTTTGCCAATTTACAGTAATTTTATGGAGACTAAATAAAATAAAAATGCCCAATTTCTAAATACATGTCAAGAATAATTAAATTAAGAGAATAAATAATGAATTTCTGTTTCCTTTGTATACTCGTTGTTTTTTGGAAAAACCTCAAAAGAGGTGGCAGTGGTTTCAGTTTTTATTTTTCGCAGCAAGTTATGGACTTAATTTTGTTAATTTTTGGGAAAAACATAAATTGTGTCTCTGGACCTGCTAATGCCACAGATAACGCATTGCTGTGAGGGTGTGTATGCAAGTACGCATGTATACTTAAGAATGGCAATGATTTGTAGGTTGTTAGGTTTAGTCTCGTTTACAAAATTAAATAAGAACAAAATTGTAATAGTGCTACATAGAGGTTATATGTCTAATCAAAATTGTAACTAATATCTCATCAAATGCCATTGGAGAGGATGGTTTCTCTATGAGAGACCTAAAGTTATGTATCCCATTTTGTACGAATGCCTTGCTGAATATAATCAACATAGGTATTTTGGGGGGATTATTTCCAGAAATATGGAAGAAAGCTATTGTTAAACCCTTACCAAATATAGCAGAACCTAAAGAATTTACAGGCTTGAGGTCTATTAGCATATTACCCGCTACATCCAAAATTTTAGAAAGGCATATTTATAATCAAATTAATTTTTTTTTTTTGTGACACAAACGATATCATACCAGATAGTCAATCCGGTTTTAGGAAAAACTTTAGCACAAGTACATCATTAGTTAATATCTTGGATGATATCAGACATCATCAAGAACAAAAAAATAGTACGTGCATGGTTCTTCTCGATTTTAGTAAAGCGTTCGACACTCTGAATCATGAAATGTTACTAGCTACATTACCAGGAGTTTTCGCAGAACTCCGTAAATCTAATAAAAACATACTTAATCAACCGTTCAAACTGTGTTATGTTAGCAAATGATTCTGCTATTTACAAAACCGATTTTTTTTTTTTTTTTTTTTTTTTTTTTTTTTTTTTTTTTTTTTTTTTTTGACGGCGTCAACTTCTCTGGTTATTAGCCGTATTCAATAATATATAAATATAATATATAAATCTAAAGTATAAAATATATAATCTCTTACATGTCTAAGTGGTAAGTGTCGCATTTTTAAAAAACTAACTACGCAAATTCCAGATATTAATCGAAAAGGATATACTATTGTCATTTACTTTCAGATTCTATTAGCGACAAAAGATAATTTCTGGAAAATGTTACACGACTAAATTTGTCAGGCATATATTCATTAATATTAATTTTTTTTTTTTTTTTTTGTGGTCATTATCTGCATTTCACGATCTTGTTTGCGTTCACGTAAGTATTTCGATTTATCCAAATTCTATTGTTGCATGTTTCTTTTAGTTCAAGATGACAATACTAAGCTAAGGTAGGTATGATGCAAAATCATCGTTACATAACATTCATTTAATCTCAGTTGAGAATAAGATACACAAAAATTAAAATGGTTCATTTCCAAAAAGTTCATTAGGTCAGATCTTCCAATAGAAACCAGATACTTTTAAGAATGATATGACGTTTTTCAGTTTTTCTGGTTGTATGAGACTCTCTGTCAGGTTATCAAATGGTCCATAGATCACTCGATATTGCGACAATATCGGACATGTGCAGATAATGTGGCGTACAGTGAGTGAAGAGTTACATCCAGTGCACAAGGGCGGATCTGTTCCGAGCAAAAGATGTGCATGTGTAAGACGTGTGTGGCCAAAGCGTAAGCGATGTATGCGCACCCATTCCTCTCGTGGCAGTCTGATAGGATGTGGCCATAATCCTACACTAGGTTTTATCTGTCTTAAGTGGGTATCAGTGTTACCCCATGTAATTTGCCAGTGTCGCTGTATACGGTTTATGAGGTACTTTTTATGATCAGACATTTTTATTTCAGGGATGTCGATGTTTTGTTGCGCTGCTGCTGCTTTCGCTGCCATATCAGCAGCTTCATTCCCCTGTATACCAACGTGTCCTGGCAACCACAGAAATTTTACGTTTACCCCTTTATTTAAGAGATGTTTGACAGTTTCAAGACACATCACAGTTAAGGAATCTCGAGATGCATAGTTCATTAGGCCTTGAAGTGCTGAGAGCGAGTCACTAGCTATAATAGCTGTTGTTATGTTATTCGACATGTCACAGTATCGTAGGGCCTGCCAAATAGCATATTGTTCAGCAGTAAATATGGATGCTATTGGTGATAGTGTCCATTGATGTGCAGTTTGATCGACTACTATAGCACAGCCGACACCACTGTCAGTTCGCGATCCATCTGTATAGATAACTGTTGCTGCCGGATATCTAGAAACGATTTCCATAAAACGTGATTTTATGAGTTCAGATGGATGGTCATTCTTAGATAGTGCAGTCAGCTCGAGATTCACATTTATTTTGGGTGACAGCCATGGAGGAGATTCTCTGTGTTTAACATTATAGATAGGGTTACATGATATACCAATTTCCTCGGCATATTCTTTAACTCGGACTCTGAGAGGTCTTGTTATTGTGGGGCGACAGATGTAGCTCTCATCCGTACTGAAAATGATAGAAAAGTTTCTATGGAATGGTCGTGTTTGAATCTGTGCAGAATACGATAGTGCAAGTTTTTTACGTCTAATGGATAGAGGTTCAACTCCGGATTCGCAATAGAGGCTAGCTGCTGGAGTTGTACGAAATGCTCCAAGGCAGAGACGTAATCCTTGGTTGTGAACTGTATCAAGTTTTTTAAGCAGTGACAGTCTTGCAGATGAGTAAACAATGCTACCGTAGTCAAGCTTAGATAGAATGATGCTCTTGTATATCCGCAACAGCATCTCAGCTTCTGCTCCGAATCGTGTTGACGACAGGCATTTTATTAGGTTTAGGGCTCTCTTGCACCTGTTGGTAAGATCCTCAATGTGTTCTCTCCATGTCAGTTTACTGTCGAGTGTTAGGCCTAAGAATTTTACAGAAGACACACAGGGTATGCGTTCATTGTTGAGACAGAGGCGTGGATCATAGTGTGGTCGTCTAAGCCTACAGAAATGGATACATCGTGTTTTTATCCGTGATAGCGTCAATCCTTTGTTCTTAGCATTCTGAAAGATGGTATCAATAGCAGGTTGTAGAAGTCGAGTAGTTTCACCAACAGTTTTTCCTGAAGTTAAAATGCATAAGTCATCAACATATAAGCATTGGTTTATAGCAGGATTGACATTCTCAGTGATGGAGTTTATTGCTATCGCAAAAAGAATGCAGCTGAGGGTTGATCCCTGTGGGATACCATTTTCCATGATGCGTGTTGTGGAAAAGGTATTTCCTATTCGTACTTGGAGGAGACGATCTGTCAAAAATGATGATATAAGTATTGGTAGATTTCCTCTAATTCCCAGCGATGTAACTGTTTGAGGATATCATATCTCCACGTCATATCATAGGCTTTTTCTACATCAAACATTACAGCGACAGTATGCTGTCTGTTTTTGAAGCCATTTTGTATCAAGTCTTCAACGTAGACTAGTTGGTCCAATGTGGATCTAAACCTCCTGAATCCTGCTTGGTGTCCTACAAGCAGTTCATCATTTTCCAAAATCCACATTAAACGTTCACAAATCATTCTTTCCAGTATCTTACCCAGACAGCAGGTTAAGCTTATAGGTCTATAACTGGAAGCCACCAGGGGATCTTTACCATCTTTCAAAATTGGTACAATTGTGGCAAGTTTCCAACATGTAGGATATACACCATTTACCCATATCTCATTGTAGATGTTCAGCAGGATTACTTTCAATTTCTGTGGTAGATGTACGATCATTTCATAATTAATCTTATCTGGACCTGGAGCTGATCTGGAGACATATTGAAGTACTGCCTCTAATTCATGCATTTCAAAGGAAACATTATAATTGAGACAATTATTTGTGGAAAAATCTATATGGATCTCTCGTTGCATTTTCTGGGCTCTAAAGGTCTCATTATAGTTGGAGGAGCTGCTGATGTTAGCAAAATGGTCTGCAAGGTGATTGGCGATGCTATTTTCATCATTTATGGTTGTTCCGTCTATTTTGCGGAGGTGGTTTATTTGTCTTAGTGATCCATTACCCTTGATCGAGCGAACTTTATTCCATACCTCACTTGATGGGGACTCAGATGTTATGCTGGATACATAATCTTTCCACGACTGCCTTTGATTTTCCAACATTAGGCGTCGAGACCTAGCTCTGGCCCGCTTAAAGGAAATCAAATTTGCCGTGGAAGGATGCCTTCTGAATGTATTTAGCATATTTTTCTTTATTTTGATAGATTCAGCAATTTCACTATT